TATTTTTCCTCAGTAAGGGTATTATAGCTGTCGTTGAATCCATCTATGAAGCTTTGAGGCTTCACAACGCAATCAGTCACAAGTATGGGCTCTATCTTGTATTGACTAGTAAACGTAAAGGGTGTAGCAATAACGAGACTACTATTGGTTCTACCATCACATTAATTGTGTCGCCGAATCGGAATAAAGAGATGTTCATCGTCGATCATTACAGTCCTCGAAATGGCAATCCATGACATGGAGTCGCGGTAGTTTGCCACATCTTTGAAAACTCTGACATTTTGGGTGAATCCCATCGTCGTGGAACATGCGAGTGGATTTCCGCTCGAGACTTGGACCGAGACAGGATTTACAGCGTCTCGAATCTGATTAGATTCGTCAAGAAGCTCTTCTGTCAGTTCCTAGATGGACTTTCTTTTATCTGGATGTGCTGGACAATGCAAAAGTGCGGCCGCCACAGACGCTTTAGTTACTCTCAATTTACGCTGGTGTGCTACCAGTGTCATACATCAGCTGTACAATGACGCCGAAACTGATTGTCGTGTGGAGATGATGCAGTAGTACTGGGAAGGGAACGACATGTGGAGTAAATTATCATACTTTGTGATGAGATGTGTTGTTCAATCTTCGGCTCGACTGGTAGCCGTCAGCTCGCGAGAGTGGTTGAAGTCGTCTCCTGATGAGTACTGGGGCGAGTCATATTTCCTGTTACGTGATTAGGTATAAGATTAAGGGTGTACGGCCGTCGAAAGATAAGCTGAATAGATGGAGTATTTATACTTCGCCACACCACTTGGCACGGTTCGCGAATGAGTCCCGAGAATATGTTAGGAAGTGGACTAACCTACATAAGTGTCGATTTGAAAGGTAACGGATTTCGCTAGGGAGAAGATTTGATCGTCTGTGAGTAGTTCTGAACAATGCCGTATGCTGATAACTTTGCAGCATCGGCTTCAGTGCAATCTCAATGATGCTGTCTCGCGATCAAGTGAAGAAAGGCACGATAGGTAATTGTTCTTACATTTATAATAGCAGGCACATTACTGAGTATAGGTATACACCGGAGGGAGTGAACATGCAGTTTATAGATGATTTAATCAGAGGAAATGTGTATGTTATTGGAGGAAAAAGATATTACTACAGCGAGGAGTTCGCCAATCATTCATCGACCGTTACGGTTCCAGACCTGTAATACGGGCTGGTAGCGAGGGTAGTGTGTAATAAGCTGTTGATCATTCGGTAGAGATGGCGACACTACAGCTGGCGAGGATAGCAGCCCTGCTAGTTTTGGAGAGGCAAATACTCCCCAGTTACCGTCATTGAAGAGGCAGGAGGAGTGGGGAAAAGAGCGGTAGTGTACAGTGAGATCAGGGCTTTGACGTGTTTGATTGAACGCTCATGTTCATCCGGCTGGTGTTGGACGAGTGACAGCGGTGATTGATCGTTATTGCACTGTGCAGGCATCCATTCTGAAGAACAGCGGATGCTCACTATGGCAGTCACAACGCAAATGTCGCAAATCGGTAGT